CAAACAAGATTTAATTTCAACAGTTATGGTGTTTCAATGACAAGCAGAATGCAATTAAATGCAAAATGGACATGACAGAGGAATTTCGGGTATGTCTATTTTCACGCCAAGATGTTTGTTATAACTCCTTACTTAAAGTATTTTAAACTTAAAACATCTTTTCATCTTCGTCAGTCAAATTAATATTGATGACAGTTTGAACAAAAATTCTTAAAAAAGAACAAAAACAAAGGACTTGAAATGGTAACATAGTTTCTTCTGGAATTCCTTATCAAAATGCAACGAGACAATAAGTAGAGGCCATGGGACCTTAAGGACCGGGGTGCTCTTCTTTTTTGTGTTTGTTTCTGGCCTGTCTACGCTGGTTCGGTACCACCTACGTTTGGTTTCTGTCATGGTCAAGGACAATTGAAGGATTGGGACAAGATGCTGAAATGGTGTCAAATTATGAGTGGTAGTTAGTGATTAAAAATAATTTGAATAATTTCATTCGCTTCTTAAGTCACTGAGTAACTATTTGGACGCTTGTGATTTTTGATTTGATACGTACAGTGCAATAACAGAACAAAGAGTCACGGGCATAAACTGTAACGATGGCAAAACAATTCACCTATCACCATTCACTGTACTATTAAGGGTCATTCATAGCAACAGTAATTAGGAAGGTGTTTCTGTGACTTCACAAGTTGCAATTTCAATAGCAATTAATCTCATTGCAACTGCCCTTGTCCCCATCATTTTCTTAAATAATGGACACAGATGGCTTCAAAAAGCATGTCGTGTTTGATCTTAATTCCAACCTTAAAAGTCGGTCTACGCAGGTCTAACCGTTTGTTAAGAATTCTATTTTTTTGATCTGTAAAATCCAAATCCCCAAGTCTCCTTATTTTAATCTAAGTCACGAGGTTACATAGTTATTTTAACACAACGCACAGATTCACATTTTTTTTAATCTGTGTTAAGTCTTAATTTATGTAATTATGTACATACTTTATCGATGAGTATGTCAGTAATTTGTGGAAAGGGACAAAGCTTTCACATGAGACTTCACCTCCGTCTGAGATTAACACAGTCCAAGATTATGAGCAAGCATTTTTAAATTAAACAAAATGAGCAGAACCTGCAAGTGATTAATTCCATTATTCCATATGAACACAATGATACTTTTGATTGCATTGTTTAAATTCTGAAGACGCATTTCAATGAAAGAGTGTACTTATCTGAGAGGAATGTGGGAGTGGTTTTACACAACAATTTCTGGAAGTATTGTTTGGGTGAGGTTGTGTTTTGTTTTGAGGACCTATAGTTTCTTCTTCTGAGGAATTTTTCAAGTAGCAGGAAAAGAAGTGTGTCGGAGCTATATAATGGGAGAATTTCAGAACACTTCTTTATAATGGATAATAATTAATTACAAATTGGAACTAAGTAACTATTTAAACCCTTAATTAATCATTACTTTATGTAGTTATGCATTGCTTCTTTCCAACTTGTAAATTGAAAAGTGCCTTTGTCCTTTCACAATAAGCTCGTCTCTTATCAAATTTTAATCGATGACGATAAAAAGTTAATGATATTATTGTTTTCCTTTCTTTTTGGAGAACTAATTACTTATACCACAGTCATTTGGAATGTGGAGATAGGAGAAGTATTTTTAGTTCAGAAATTCAATAGCACGTTATTTATTATATTTATCTAAATAATTTCATGTATTATTTAGAATTCCGTTAGATCAGCTCGATTTTCTAATTTGTTTTCAACTTTTTTAAAATTTAAATTTTGAAATTTATTTATTTATTTTTCTGATAAATTTATGTGAACTATTAATAAAAAATAATTGATTAAAAAATTAAAATATTTGTTATTATTAATACAATTATAAATTCATTTGTTTACTTCTTTTGTGTGATTTTAATACGCGAGTTTTCTTATCATCTAATAATATTTTTAATATTCATTTTAAATTTCAGTTTGAATTATTTCAATGATAGAAAGACAATTACTTATTCTTTCAAATAAATACATAATAATATCGCTTCAATTAGTTAATTTAAATTATAACTTTAATTTTTAATTTTTATTATCAAATAATTTATCACCATCAAACAACTTAAAAAATAATTGTAACATATTCTTTTATTAACAATCACATCACAGCTTAATTTAATATATCATTTTATGTATTAATTTATTAATTCCATAAATTTACTAAAAGCAATATTTTAATAAATTAATAAAATTTTAATTACTATATTATTTATTTTTAATTTTAGAACGATTTTTATCTATTTTTCTTTATTTTAAACTTATTATTTTAGCTTAACAAAATAACTTTTAAAAATATTATCTGACCAAAATTAAATATATTTATTCAAATTCAAAATATTTATGACACCTAACAAAAATACACATTTTACATCAATTAGTTACTACAAATGAGATATTACATTAAGTTTAATTTCATAAATACGATAATATTGTTTATATTTTGCATAATTAAAATGATAAATAATTTTAATTATAAAAACATTCAAATCATTAATTTATATCAGCATTTAATTTTTTTTATTTTTATTATCAAATAACTGAATACTTTTAAGAAAATATCAATATTCATTATATTTAACGTTTTATTTAAGTTATTACAAAATAAATCTTAGATATTATCAATGTCGTGAAATATTATTATTTTTATTATATTTTTAATTTTATTTTTTTTAAATAGTATTTTCAGAAGTAGAAAAAATTGAAGAAACATGTCGCAATTTGTCGTTCTCATTTTTTTTAACTTATATTTTAAATTATGTAATAAAATAAGGTTAGAATTTGGTTATAAAACAATATTAGGTAAGTAGTGCGAAAAGCTATTTGGGAAAAAGAAAATCTGAACCGTGACAAAGATTTTGTGTTGCGAAAAGTATCTTTGGGCTATCGATAAAACTCATGCAACCAAAGACAAAAGAATTGAATCCTGCTCCAAACTTGTGATAACAAGACCCTACTAAAACCAATATATGGTCCCAGAATTAGTTTATGGAAACCCTCAATCCTTCTTGTGCCCAGAGTCCATGTGGATAATTTATTTTCATCTTATATGTTGTTTTCTTCTAATTTTTTTATATTGTTTTTTTTTTCAATTTTACCATAGGTAGTCATAATTTGAATCATCCAGTGAATCACTGATAAATTTTACTGATTATCAAGTAAAGTGATCGATCATAACTTAGAAATAAAGTATATTTACATTTAATTGGGTCATAATTAGATTAATATTAATTTAAAATCTATCTCCAAATAAATAAAAGTTCTAAGTAAATAGAAAATTACAGTTGAATTAATTATTAACTACTAAATAAACGGTTGACTTTAATTCTGAAACATTTTGGTATTTATTGTAGATTAAGTGATCAACATTAATACTAATGTAATAGCTGACCAAGTCATATATTACTTAATGTGACATCAATCATGAATTTTCTTTTCCTTTTACATGTATGTAAATAACTATATTTAAAGTATTCTCATACACACACTAAACAAACATATATGTTGTAGCAACAATTTTTATAATAATTTAAATATTTAAGTATTTATTTTAATTGATTGAGTTAGGTGGTGTTAAAGTGGTATATATCCTTCTTGATAGTTACTTGTAACACAAGGAAATAAGATAGGGATGGTGACGCAGTAAAATTGTAAAACCCAGCCATACTTTGGTTAAAGTTGTCTAAAGTGAATGCTTTTGTAATCATCTGTGTTGGAAATTGTTTGAAGGGAAGATTGCAGAGCGTATCCACCTTTGAATCCACTTTCCTCTTTTGCTTTTCCTTTTAGCTGAGGCTGTCTTGCTCTTTCTTTCAGTGGTAATGATGCATTTGTTTTCTTTTTGTTGTTTTCTCAGCACTACCCGTTGAGAGCTCAGTAAACCACAACACATGTGACCACATTCTATCATCACCTAAGGTGCTCGATAATGACAATGTTGCCTCGTCACATGTTTGCCTATTTATGATCAAACCAAAAATGCAAACAAAATAGCAATATTCCACTTCGTGATTCCCTGGACTGTGTCTTCGCCTCCTTAATTATTATCTAATTTAAAAAAGTTGTTTTTTTTTGTTTTTTTTTTTGTGTAAAAACTTTGAAGGCTAATACAGTTTCAGCCTTGAGATCATAAATTGCACCCAACTTCTCAGATCAAACTGATACTTTCAAACTGTTGGTTAATGAAAATGTATGTCATAAAAAAAATAATGATAATGTTGTTTTTTAAATAACGTTACCGAAGTAATTAAAAATATATCTTAAAATATTTATTTTTAAAACGTGAAATTTAAAACCTTACTCAACAACCAAATAACTTTAAACCATCCCGAACAGAAAGTTTTGATCCTTGATGAAACACCCTTTGAGACGCTTCATTAAAAAATTCACAACTTTATACCATGGCATGAGCAAATGTAAAAAATTAACAGACCCTACTCCTGATAAATTTCCCTACGTGCAGAAAGTAACTTGGAGTTACCTAGAAATTGAAACTGAGAAAAATAATTTAGAATACTTATCTGCTAATTTTTCAATAGAATGCAATATTAGAAAGGTTAGAAGATTTTCTCCTTCTTCCTTCTTCCATTATTAAAAAAATGTACTAAATTAATTGTTACAAATTTATGTTAAGGATGCATTTTTTTATAGCTCAACATCAAGCTATCAATTTAATAGAATGAATTTTTTATTTTTTAAATCACATAATCTAAATGGTTCATTTTCTTTCCAGAAATAATGTGAAAGATGTACTATAATATTTTGTTTAATTATGTGGTGACATGAAAAAGTATTGGGTGCAGAAAGAAATAGCCGAACTTTTGCTAACACCGTTATCAGTGATCCTGAGAGGGCCCAATGGGAAGGAGGAAATGGACCAGCAGAGAAGCCCAACAGAAAGCTGGGCCCAGTTATATTCCGAATTTGAAAGCCTGGGATTATCGAATAAAGAAAAGCAAAAGTCAGAATAAGGAAAATACCATAAAAGGCGAACGGAGACTCTCCTCTTTCTTCATCACCAGCAGCAATGCAAACGCTACTTCTGCCGGCAACACGGGCCGGCAGCTTCACGGCGGTTCCTCTGTCAGCCTCTGCTGCCGCCGCCCCTCGTCTCTCTCAACCATTTCTGCCGTTGAATCCCCTGCCCACACTCCCTCTCAATTTGTCTCGTTCGTCTTCCGCTTTCGGTTCCCCCTTCTCTCGTCAATCATGGAAGCTTCCTTTCACCGCAAGCGCTTCTTCTCAAGTGTCTACGGCTTTCACTGCTTCGAATGACGAATTAGAGAAGGCAAAACTCGAACAGGTACTGTCCAGTGGTTTTGAACTATTCAATTGCGAACTCGAATTGCATTTCTAGGGTTCCTGAAAATGGAATTGTTGTGGTGCAGGTGGCGAAGAGATTGGAGAAGACGGCGAGGTATTTCAAGCGTTTGGGTAACTTAGGGTTTTGGGGTCAGTTAGTGTGCACTGTCGTGGCTGCCGTCATACTGTCATTCTCCGTTGTCATTACCGGAAAAGTGACATCTCCTGCCACATTTTATGCCACGGCGGGTGGAATAGTGGCGGCCTTCATTTCTGTGTTTTGGTCCTTTGGTTACATTCGCCTTTCGGAGAAGCTTCGAAAAACTGCAAATGACCCCGCCAAGGTGTGTGTTTGTGTGCATTTTGAATTTGCTTAGGGTTCTGAACGTGGTTAATTATTGTAAGATGGAACTGCATTTAGTTATATTAATGTGAAATCATTGTATGTATCTATTAAGTGAATTTTGATGAGGTATCTTAGCTTTCCCTTTTACTTGTGTTTTCAGGCACCCCCTCGTGCTGATGTAGTGAAAGGCTTGAAAAATGGTATAGTAATGAACCTGTTGGGGATGGGTGCTGCTATTCTTGGGATGCAAGCCACGGTTGGCTTGTTGGTTGCTAAGGCTCTCACTACCTCTGCAAACCCGTATTATCAGGGAATTTCCCCTGGTAACAGCCCAGTTCTCGCATTGGATGTATTTTTGGTGCAGGTATGTCGTTTAAGTTTCCCTGCTGCAGATTAAATTTGTCTATTTTCTTGTAGGTTTGTGCTGGAGCCAGATTCTTTTATTTTAGACCAGCTCTTGTTTTTATCAGTGTTATTCTCACTAGTTTCCCATTTGACCTGTATAGTTGTTAGTTATGTTATTAACAAGCCTCTCATTCAGATGAAAGCCGGGTCTTTATCTTCTTATAGCCCCCGTTATGAACATCTTTTTCTCATGAGCAAATTCTTCTATCTGTTTGGTTCTTTGTCTTCTGCCATTGCCGATCTTCACCATTTTAATGATAAATATATAAATAATGAATTGGGGACATGTCTTGACTCCTGTTATTGGAGGTTGAAGTTTGGATTGGTGGAGCTTAACTTACAGTAGGATTGAAAACAGAAAAAAAACCCTCCCAGAGTTTTAAAGTGTTGGTAGTATGTTGAGAGTGTATGAACTGAATGAGTCCCCTAAAGTGAGAGTGCATTCAGGAGGATAAGCACAGAGTTATATAGATTGTGATAAAGTATACGCATATGCATTTCAAACTATATAATGGTTAAATTGTTTACTCCCTCATATTAACTGCTCTCCCCTTTCACCTATTAATTGCGCCCGTTATTTTAGATAAGACAAATTTGATATATGGCAATTGATTTCTGAAAATAGGGAAGGCTGTTCTGTTGTTTCGTATATATCTTTCCCCATCAAGTTGATGTGTTTAAATTACAATTACAAAATGGTGATTGCTGGTAAAACACACTTTCTAATACACTTTTTCACAATTTGGTAAAATTTATGAAGTTCTACCAAACAATTAATGAGATTGATTAAATTGGGGGTAGACTCCGCATTTTTAAGTGGGTCCCATGTGAATTTTATCGCTTAGTGAAGGCTGTATTCGAAAGAGTGTAATAGCGAATGTGTTAGTATTTACTGTTTTCAAGATTTACTTGTGTACTTGTGTCATTTTGTAATAATTGGTCATAGGGAAAATATTTCCATACAAACATAACTCAACAAAACTCAATGTAAGCAACATTTTGATTGTATTGAGTACAATATATGGTCTTCGGCAGTAGCGCAATGTTTGACTTCTCGGTGCTACTCATCAAGAAATGAGTAACACTTTTAAACATTTATCATCTTTGTTTTGCAGGCATCAGCGAACACTATTCTCTCACATTTCCTTGGGCTTATTTTCTCTCTGGAGTTGTTGAGATCAGTCACGTTACCACCTTCAGAAACGACTCCATTTCCCAAGTTTGCATAATATGTACCAAGAGACTAGTATGATGAAATCACACCCAAAAATTATCCCCCGTTTCCGGTGGTTGTTTGCGTAATGAATTACGTTCCTCTTTTTTGATACAGCATTTTAATGCCCTCTTCCTAGGCAATTCCCGAAATTGTGTATTTCCAGTTTTAAAAGAACCCGTGCAAATGTTGCTAATAAACATGACAATGGCTCAACAAATGGAGATCCTTGGGCAGATTATTATAATGGAGGGAGTCGTTTTGGAGTCATCATCACTCATAGCTTGTCTACGGTAAGATCCAATCGGAGAAATTTCGAAAATCAACTCTGAAATAATTGTATATTAGACCTGTCATGGAATCTGCGGGTTTTGTTCCTTTTCAAAATACTCGCAAGCTTGTTTGACAGTATGATGCTATGTTTTTGTCCTTGTTAGAGTTACTTTTTACCCCTTATTTTGTACTTGTACCAGGATTCACGTAATAGTAGGTTTCGGTTTATTATGCATCGGATTCACATAATAGTAGGTTTTGGTTTATATTATGCATTGGAAAAAAGACCTTAATTATAGTCATGCTAAAAATTGCGAGTAGCAAGAACTTGAATCGAATTCATAGTTTTTCTTGTTCTACTATATACCTTTAACCATAAAGAAATGGTAATAAGTTTAGGAAAGTTTTATGAATCTTAATGAAGACTATGTTTGATGAAGGCTGGCATTTAGTTTGATATTTCTTTTAGAAAACCTTGTTCCTTTTATCACTAGGAAAACTTTATTTGATGAAGATAACAAAAATAGAAGTAAAATTCAGATTAAATATTTCCTATATAAATAATATGTAAAATAATAAGATGTACAAAACAAATAAGAGAAACACCAAAATTTGTGGGGAAATCTTAATGTGGAGGAAAAACTTGTTGGACTTAGTTTAGGAAAAATTTTCACTGATAATCTATACGATCTCTTTACCAAGGTGGAGAACAATATAAAAAAAACCAATTGGTACTCGACTAAACAACAAATTAAACTTTATAAATTGGATTTCTTTTCTCAAAGCTAGTTTATGCTTATAGAATATACCAGTTGCTTCTTTTTTTTTTCATTCTCTCTTAATTACTTCTTTTCTTTCCTTACTAAAGGTATTGTCTTTTTTTTCTCTCTCCTGAAAATCTAATGCAAAAGATTGCATTATTTTAAATGACATAATGAGCTAAAAATTCACAAAGAAAAATGTTTTTTTTTTAATTAAGTCAATATGGTCCAATAAATTGGTGATCCAACACTAGCAATAATTAATTCAAATTAAGAGCATGATACACTTCCAAACATGGAATACCTTTATGGTAATTAGGGTGGAAATGCAGAAGCAATTAGGGTGGTTCTACAATTAATTTTTTTAGACACTAAACAAAAATGCACTATCCGATCCATTTTTAAACGATAATTTGCTTCACTTGTGCGTGCATTATAAATATATAGTTTGATGAAAAAGTGTTAAACAACTTTGGACATTCTTTTTACTGATGCTGAAGCAGTCAAAGAAAGTTCTTACAAATTTTGTTCTTCAATGTTCCTCGTCATCTATTCAGTATATATAATAATAGAAACAAGATACTTTAACCAAGATCGAGAGTTTGTATTTATCAAACACGACATTTAAAACCTTTAAATTACGCAAAATATGCTTTTTTTGATGAGATAATTACGCAAGATACTTTGATATTCAGTTTCTAAAATCGCTGAGATAATTACTAACGAGTAATGGGAATAACTAAAAGACTAAAAATCTATGATGAACACTGCAACTAACATACAATTTCATAAAATATATTGACAGTGAGTTTTATCAAGGCACATAGAAAAGTAAAAACAAAAATATTTAAATTATCTTATATTTCTGATGTTGGATTATTAAACGTAATAAATTGAAGAAATCATTTTATACATAGAAAACAAACAGACAAGAAAACAAAATAAAAATCAAGCCACACCCTCTTACCATCACAAACTATATATACTAATTACTAAGTAAAACAAGTTTTTGATTAAAATTTATTGAGTTGGATCTCCACAAAGAAAAGACCATTATACTAAGATTCAATAACACAACATCATGTGTCTGAGATTCCCATTAGTCTCTTTCTCCATGTATATCAACCGTATATATATAAAGAAAAAACACGGCAAGATCCATGTTATTCTTATGTACTAGGTTGCTGCTATCTGTAGTTCATTTATATTTCCTTTGAAGCCTCTTGCAGATGCAAAGGCTAGTTATGGGGAGAAGGTGATGAGAACATGTTCTGAGTTGATCCTCTACCCCTGATTTGTTCCAAGGTATGCAGTGCTGACAGTGTCAGTTCGATATACATGTTCTTCATATTTTTTAGGTCAGAAAGTTCTTCGGGAACATGCATTACAGTCTTTTCATTTTCATCGATACTGACGGAGCCAAAACCATTTCCCATAAAATTTTGGCCCATCGGTGAGCCCAGACCATTGGTGAAAAGAATGCTCAGTACCTCACAGTCCTTCACAAGCTTGTTAATCACGTCAATTTCATAGAAGGGCTGCTTCACCACATCTTGGATAAAAGGCACGCGAAGTAGAGCACCAGTTTTCTTATCGTGCTTCTTTATTATCTTCACCAAACCTGCTCTTCAACATTCATCATCAAACTCATTAGTTCATATAATCGGAACGTGCTTTACATTATTATTCTTCCTTCACATTATATAAGTTTCTTTCAAAGTTTAATCTGTTCTGATCAGTTAACTTATTATAGTACGAAGAGTTTATATACATATTTATTAGAAAACCAGTTGGTGAATTCTGGCATTCATGCATGAGCTCTTAGAACATAACATGCCTGTGTAGTTGAGTGTACTGTAGTTCTCTAGCAAAACCATCTCTCCGTGAAAATCTACTATTTCTAACATTAAGTCTACGTTTAAATCCAAGGCTTCCATAACCCTGTCTTGCAACTCCTGCAACACAAACCATGGATTATATCTTCACGGTTTTGTTAGGAAGATCATCTTAATCTTAAGTACGAATAATAATATAAAAAAACCAGAAAGGTAAAATGAACAAAATGTCTCTCATGGGAAAAGGGTTTGAAACGTTATTCATTTCACCTTATTTTTACCATTTTTTAGTGAGTGTTTGCTTGAGAAGTTTATCCAAACAAGTTTGGAATATAAAAAAGAAGAAAAGATGAATATGTAAGTTGATATTTAGTTAATCACCTTCCCTTTGATGACATATTCTTCTTCCTTTTCAATAAATAAAGTGTTAAACTTATCGATCTCTTGCTGCAGAAGGTTAAGGAAGCGGTTGAGTTGGTTGGGATCGATTTGGCCATCTTCGGAACACATAAGTTTCAACTGTTTCTTCAAGATTTTGTAGCACAAGAACTTGTCACGCCAACTGGGCAAGGTCTGCTCGATGAGGCTCTTTAGTATCTTCTCAAACTTCATCTTACGATGATATAATCTTCTGCAGACTTATCAGAACGATGCTTGAAGCTGATTGAGTGGAAGGGTTGAAGGGAAACAAAATGCAGGCTTTTATTGTTGGGGGATTGGAATATTCGGGCGGACGGAAAATTGAATTTCGGACGCAAATGCATAGTTTTCTCCGTCTTTTTCCTAATGGAAGGCATAACAGTATTTGTTCCATTTCTATTCTGTTGTTTTTGTTGTCTTGTTAGAAAATTATCTTGGGAAAATCTACTATATATCACAAAGCACTTAGTATTGATCACATGATGCCCGAATCTACTGCTGATTGTAGTGAATGTACCACAATATTATAATTTGGTGATTGATGGATCACAATAAAAAAAACTGATTATGCGTGGATATTCAATATGATTATACCTATATGCCTTTGACTGCACATGTTGTTGGAGTATTATAGTCCAGTCAAAAATTAAAATTTTAACGCTTATACACAGAATTTGTTTTGCTCAACATAGAGGACTACCATATTCTTGATCTATCTCAGGGATGCAGCGAAGATGAAGACACTATATTTTAAAAAATGTATTATATTTATATTAAATTTTATATGAAATATTCAAATGTGTGTGTATTTTTCCAGCTAACCCCACAATTGATTTTTTTTTTCGTCTATTTTGTCTAATAGTGGAATAGTTAAGTGGACTCCCATATTTTTATTTGTATATGAGATGATAACTCCTCTAATTACAATTATTTACGCTTAGACTACTTGTTTAGAAACATGTGAAGTCTATTATTATGATTTACCATTGTGTTTTGCGGTTGTTTTAAATATAAATATTTGTTTTTTCAACAATCTACATGTGAATTTTATCCTTTAGTCTAGGTTACAAACGAAAAATAATATTATTCTCTCTAATATTATATTAGTTAAGTATAATATAAGTTATATTTTTATTTGTTTATCATCAACTGAGATAATAACTCCTCTACTTGCATTATGTGTCCTCATATGACATGGCTCTTGTATGGAAATTATTTGGAGGATTTGACATGAATAATTGCCATTTGACAATTCTTTATAAGAGTAAAATGGTTCTAATAAAAATTAAATTTTGTATTTTTAAAGAAAAAAAAAAGTATAGGGTAACGTCAAATAGGTGTAAAAAAGATTTTGGAGTCACGGTATATTTTCCTTAATTTTCAATTATTTTTCAAAATAATTATAATATTTTGGTAAATCCAATGTTTTTTTTTTCTCTCAACCACCAGGATGATAATGTGGGACAGATTATGTAAACCGATCCATAAGTTCGCAAGAAAAAGTACAGGAGGAAGTAAGTGTTTTAGCCTACTTTGGTATGTCCCGCATAACCTGCAATTCGCATAAACAGCTACTTGATGGGGAACGAGTCCACATAATCCATATAAATTTAAATCGCAAAAAGAATAAAATGTTATTAATATAATATGAAAAGACAAATATTCCATAATATAAGAATGGTGATTTCTAATTATTATGTGTGTATAACTATAAAAGTTATTAATTAGCCGGATAAATGCTTGAACTTATCATTATGATTAATAATGCTCTTAATTTCAATAAAAATTCTTAATAACCACAACTGAAAAAACTAAGATAAAAAATATATAATTGTTATTTTATTTTAAACTAATATTTTATTAGTTACATATAAACTATATTTTTTTTCTTTGGACCCAATATATTATGATGGTTAAATCAAAACAATAAAATTAAAAAATAAACAATTCTTACATAAGTCAACCCACATACTTATGAATCAAATATTAGGCAGGATAAGTCAGAAAAATTAGTTCATAATTTTTATGCAGCAAAGATCAATCCATTCTATTGTGAACCAAATTCAGATTAGAGCAAGATAACCCATGTTACTTTAGTCGAGGAACGTCTTTAGTCTTCCCCTAAGCTATTCGGACCACCACCCCTCTTAATCAGTCACTGAATAAATTTAACGGTTATGTAACAATCACTAGTTCAGGATTAGCTCATACAGAATCCCTTCTAAGTAAAAAAGAAAAAAGAAGAAAGTACTGAATTCTATATATGGGTTGAGTGCGGAATACCAAACAATCCAGATTTTCAAATTTTAAACCAGTGCGAAAATCATAATTGTTTGAATTGCATTCAACATTGAAAGTAATAATATTTCATTAAGGGGATTCTAATTTGTGCCTAAAGGCGAGGGAGTGTAAACTACCAACTACGAATGACAATGGCCTTTAAATCAACGGGTTCTTACAAAAAATATCCACAAGTTATTACGAAGGAGATGTGATTGTCTTCTTTATCAACCTTAAAGCTGTACAAAATTCCTTGTAAGTCGTTAAATGCATTACATGGGAGAAAACCAAAACGATTTGTTCCTTTTCCATCCTTTTTTTTTCTTCGAGCCAAAGCCTTAATTTGGAAGTTATCAATAAATCCAACAAAAGCAAACCAGGTTCCAAAATCTGCTCCTGTTAAAAAACGAAGTTTGTGCATTACTCTACTTATACCATTCCCTAGTTTGAGCCATTAGAAAGCTTTTTCCTTGTTTGATTTTGGCCATAAGTAAACACTACCCTTTCAAAGTGACTGAATAATATATTCCCGGCAAGCAGAGCTGAATTACTTTTGGGGATCATTAAAGAGGAATAGTACGATGTTGACCAATAAACGATATCACACATTTCAAATGTAAACGACTCGTAGACTTCTTGCTAAAATGTATCCGATTCTAATGTATTCAATGAACAAAATACAATTAGCATGAACACACCAAGACATTTTTTTCATTATTTTTTTTAGGGTTGCATTTCTACTAAAGAAAATATTATTATGCTTGGAGCTGAGATAATATCGGTTACCGGGAACAATCTTGTCTCAGAATTAACAAATAAATGACATTACGCACTTAATCGCTTAATAAACCACAAACCATGTATTAAAGCTACTGGATGGAGTTAATCTAAGTTAATTCAAGTAAAGACCCCTTAAAATATTATAAATAGATTGACAGTAAAGATCATTCATTGTACACTTATTATAGTATCAATACGCTATGTTGAGTATCTTATACGCACTTTACTCCTCTCCGTCAAGGAAACACGAAGAAGGCATTTCAGCATATTTGGAGAACCAAAAACACAAGTACAAGAGAGTAAGTTGGAGAGAAACATCCATCTTATAAGCCTATCTGACCAATTATCTCGTTACTCTCCAAGTCGTAAGTAACCAATTCAGTAGCACATTATATAACCCACCCAACCCAAATCCTTTTCGTGCAAAAAACCATAATGCATACAAATTCTCCATGTCCATCCTTCCTACTTTTTACCCTCTCTGATAATCTTGTTCAAATAAAATTTAACTAGGGCAATATACCCATTGATAAAAGTTCACAAAAAGCCTCTTCCATGTGCTACATAGAAAATCATAAGAGAATACCCACCTACGTCAAAGCTATTGGTCAATCCTGATTCTGAAGAATAAGCATACCATCTAACCATCAATCAACAGAGCCATAGCATCCCACCAGCAAAAAGAAATTTCAAACCTCAAGCACTTCATCGTACACTCCTAACTAGACTTCACTCATCCATTTGCACCCTGAATTTCAAACAGAAAACTCGTTAACCAAAAATTTCAAGTGAGCTATTTAAAGGTTTTTTCTGCAGAGTGAAGGAATAATTTATACTGCTAAAAAAAATGCTAGAATTATTTTGTTGAAAAAGTTGTACAAAAAAAAGTGTCTCCTTTCAGAAAACAGATGGAATTTGCACAAATATGATATAACTACCAGAAAATACAATTACACATTTTATGCATTACAACTTTATCCCATAAAATATACCCTTTCTGCAGATCTTTTACATCTTTCAGAGATCACTAATGACTAGTTATTTCAGCTTCAAGGCATATATCACTTTTCCTATGATAACTTTAACTGACATGAAAACTCACCAAAAGGTAACACAGGAGAACACCACCCATTGGAAGGAAATAGCAATGTCAAAATATATGCAAATGGTATTTTATTGACTTTGGGGGTGTGCCAGAACAGAAAAGCTTTGTCTTAAATAGAAAGATGTCATACAAGAGTTTTCTGTCTTAAAGTAGACAGATAGAGAGCTGCTAAACCACAAGTTTTCTGTTGAAGAGAGTTACCCAGTCACAAATAGATATATTGTGAAAACTCTCTTCCACAGGCAGAATTGTTATAACTTACATTGATACTAACAGTAGAGTCACAGACATTCAATCATTCAGTAGACAAATTGCCTACGAACATAGCTAAGATATGTTTTTTTTTTCAGTAACTATTTGCATCAAATACAAGTAAAGGAATAGAATGCCCTTACAGTGTTCCTACTGCGCCTTCTTTTCTTTGTTTGACTGGTTTGGAATCTTGCTTAAAACAATACTGTGAATTTTTTTATACCGAGTCTGAATAGTCCCATATATAACACATAATCTGTCGTCAATTTGGTCCTGGTACTTGTCATACAACACAGGAAGAGACAGGCTAAGAAGAACACCTGTCCAGAAAGTTATAAAAATATTAAAGTAAATGAATGCCAACCAAGACAGTTTCATAAAAGATGGCCTGAGCATTGAAAATCCACAGAAGCATTGAACTTACAAACATAGATCAAAGTCAAAAAGTTGAACAAACTACCAACGAAAGATATTGCCCACAATCCACCAACAACCTGATTGAGCAAGTTCACATAAAGAAGTGTCAACATTAAACTCTACCCAATGTATGTTCAAAGAAATCAGCATAAAACAAGGATGAGAAGAAAATATAAAATCATACTTGGAGGCAGAGAAGCAAATTCCTCTCAATCGCTATGTCATGTGCAACTGTCAAAGCCCGGTTCATCCAAATTTGCACTGCATCAGCAACCTTGGCAACAGTTTCCTCCGAGATCTCCAGATCGGGGAGAGGAGGAAGCGGTCTGCGACATTAAAAGGACGAAAATAACTTCCAATGAAAAAAGAAAGAAAGTAAATTCACCACTACAATGTAACAGATTTAGTGTGACTCAGCATACTCCTCACCGTCATTTCAATTTTCAAATGCATCAATATTTAGAACAGTCAACGAAATATTTATATGCAATAAATTCCTTTTCTCGAAATGAAATTATTTTCAATTCAATCATGAACGGTTTAAGACTTATAAAACAGAAATCAAGTACACGAATCTAGAAGAGACCTTAATCTAGGAAACACAGCATAATTTCGAGAAAGTAAAAAAGTACCTATTGAGAAGGTTAGCAGCTTTGGCCCAGAAAAAGAGAATCAGGACGAGAAGCAAGACGACATTGGCAACGAAAGACAAGAAATTGTAACCGGCTCGCTCGAACAAGTACCACAACGTCGAAGAAGATACGAGCAGCGCCGCCGCTCCACGCCAGTTCTTCCACAACACCACATCGGCAACTATCACACATAATAAAAAAGAATGCAAAAAAAAAAAAAAATCAACTCGGATATTTTCTACTATCAGATTGCACCATCGATTGTAACTACGTGTAAAGGATCGATGAGATTGAACGAAATCAGAAAGGGAGAGAACCTAAGCCTTGGCCGAGAAGGCGGTGAACGGAAATCCGTTGAGAATCTCCCATGGTGATTGGGGAAGTTGTGCAGTGACAGTAACAAACTATAGATACTAGTAACAGTGAGATTACGGTTACGCTGCCTCCTTTCGTTTTTGCTCATCTACTCCACATGAAAGATGAAACGCCAAAACGCCATTCGTTCTTCGTTCTGATGTCCCTCGATACTGGGCTGGACCTGGCCCATCAAATGGAATAAATACAATTTGGGCGTTGCTCCCTCCACCTCCCCGTTTTCTCCCTCCACCTCCCTAACTTTCTCCAATTTTTTTTCAATTACAAAAACAACCTTTTGTTTTACCTTTTTTAACCTTTTTACATTTTTACTTTTAATATTATTTTTCAATACCTTTTTCCATTATTGACAATGGCATTGGAATGACTAAAGCAGACTTGGTGAACAACCTGGGTACTATTGCGAGGTCTGGGACCAAGGAATTCATGGAGGTGCTGCAGGCTGGTGCTGATGTAAGCATGATTGGGCAGTTCGGTGTGGGGTTTTACTCTGCATACCTTGTCGTAGAGAAAGTCATTGTTACTACCAAGCATTATGACGATGAACAGTACATTTGGGAATCTCAGGCTGGTGGCTCTTTCACTATTACTAGGGACACTGAGGGCGAGCAACTCGGAAGGGGAACTAAGATTACTCTCTTCCACAAGGAAGATCAGTTGGAGTACTTGGAGGAAAGGAGGATCAAGGATCTTGTAAAGAAGCACTCTGAATTCATTAGCTATCCTATCTACCTTTGGACGGAGAGAAGACAACCGAGAAAGAAATTAGCGATGACGAAGATGATGAGCCCAAGAGGGAGGAAGAAGGGGATATCGAGGATGTCGACGAGGAAAAAGAGAAAGAGTCTAAGAAAAATAAGAAGATCATGGAGGTTTCTCACGAGTGGAAACTCATCAAAAGAGTCTGAGAAAAAAACGGATGTCGACATCCGTTTTCCCTTGAACGGATGTCGACATCCGTTTTACCTTTAACGGATGTTGACATTCGTTGACGGATGCTCACAGTTTAAAAATTATACGATTTATATTTTACAGTTTTTTTATATTAATTGTGAAGATATTTAAATAATATAATTTATATTTTTTGATATATTATTTTTGAATAATGGATATGGAGGAAAGATGGAAGATGAGAAACATGGAGTTTGAGTGAGAATCTGAGAGGGTTGGGAGGTGGGTGAGAAGAGGTAAAAAGATAGAGTTTAGGGTTAAAGTAAATAATTAGAATTAAAAATTAAAAAGGTTATTTTTGTAATTTTAAAAGGTTAGTTTTATAATTAAAAAATATGTAATAAAATTGGGGAGGTGGAGGGAGAAAATGGGATGGTGGAGGGAGTAACACCCTTTTTTTTATGGGTCACTGAACACTTCTAACTCTTTCACTTTGCGCCTACAAACTTTAAGAAAATGTCAGTTTCGTCCCTAATTAAAAATGTATTTAATATGTAAAAAATTAAAAAAAAATCTAATTAAAGATTCTTAAATAGTTTCAATTCAGTCCATTCCAAATTTTTGAAAAATTCAACTTTTAACTTTAATAAATGTATATTAAGATATAATTTCTATTATTATAATAGTTATATTAAAAATAATAATAAAAATAATTTAAATAAGAGTAGTAATAATGAAAAAAAATAATTATATTAAATCTGATTTAAAATTATTATTTTTATTTTTGCTTTTTTATTTTCATTATTATTACTTTTATTTTAATTATTTTAATAATTATTAAAATATAAAAATACCATAAATAATATTAAAATTTTAAATTGAATTAAATAATTATTAAATTTTAAATAATAAACAAAATTTTTAAAAATAACTTTACTTAATCGCTGGATTTTGATATCCGAAATAAATTAATATTTAAAGTCTTTAGATAGTATAATAATTTGTGTGTTTATGCAT